CCTTTTTTTTTTTCAAATTGGGCGGTAGAATTAGATTACAAGTATTTTGAGATTAATAACTTTTTAATGGCACTCCAAAAATTTCGTTGCATCCTAGAGAATCAAAATCCACTGGTTTTCTTTTTTTTTTTTTCTGCGATGAATTGTCCGATCCCTTTAGTTTTGACTTGAACTTCATAGGTGGCACTGCTCTGCCCATAACCACCTTGCTAAAAGACTTCAGCAACTAAAACTGATAAAACTCTCTGCTTGAAACTTTTTCCATCAATCAATGCCACTCTTGAATTTCTCCCAATAAACGCCACGCCAGTGGTTTGGGTCACTCCAGTGGCTTGCGAGTTAATTATTTTTCTACAATGAGATATGACCTGACAAATTCATAAGTATATGTAAATCACTTTTAACCCAACGCTCCAAGCAAAGTTGTGGTCGTGAGACATTATTTTGTATTATGCCTACTACTCAATCATAATTAAAATAAAATAAAATAAAAAAGAATACAATGCAGTATGGATTGTACCAATCAATACTACCATAACTAATAGATGGGGTGAGCCCCTTGATATTAAGGGTTCCACTTCCAATTTAATAACGCATATTTTATAATCTAATACAATTTAAACTGTAAAACAAAATACTCTTAAAATAATTAATAACAATGGATTTTAAGAAACATAGTTCAAAAACTTGTTAGGAAATAATCTTTAGAAATCTTAAAAATTATTACGTGCATTAAATATATGTAATACCCTTGAAATATACAAAGATCTACTCATATATAATGATGGGCATTATTTAGTAAATCCTAAGGCTATATTATTTGCTATGCTTGGGATTTTTAATTTTTTTCTTTTAATGTTGAAAAATTTTGCAACTGTTGGAAATTAAAACTAAAAACCAAATGATCAACAGCTTGTTTAAGATGAGTTTTGACACTAACAACTAAAAGCATAAACTTGTTTAGTGGTATTAAAAGTAATTTTGTTGTTATTTCTCTAAGAGTCATGATAATATATTAAAAATCAAACATGAACTAAATGAGTGTTTTTTTTTTTTTAAATAATAAAATTTATGTATAAAAACTAAAACTAAAAATCAAAATTTCAACCATATTAAACAAAACTTATATTAACAGAATTATTGAATGAAAATGGTCGTTATTCGTTAAAAACTGAATTAACGTAATAATGTAATGGAATACAAAGGTTACTCAACATTCAAAATAATGACAAAAAAACTATTATCTAGGTGTTAGATGTACATACCATGTATTCCATCCTAATAAGGATAATAACATTCAAAAAATGGCAAATATAAGTAATTGAGTAACCAAATAAGGATTTAAATTTTCTAAAAGGTTAAATGTCAAATTTAATCACTAAACTTTCAATTTTGAATAATTTTGGTCCTTAAACTATTTTTTATGCTTTTTTCATCCCTAAACCATGAAAAATGCACTTTTTAGATCTTCCTTTAGTTTTGTCCATTAAGTTTGTCTAGTTGGCATTTGTTAAATTTCCTTTAGTAACCTAATAAGCATAAAACAAAAGTTTAAGGACTAAAAATGTATAAAAAAAATTAGTTCAAGAACAACAAAAAATGGGTGTAAAACAAAAGTTTAGAGACCAAAAAAATGCTGGCTATCAAGCTTAAAGGACAAAACTGATTGGAGGATGAAAAAGGAGTATTTTCCATAGGTGATGGATGAAAAAAGTATAAAAAATAGTTCAAAGATTAAAATTATTCAAAATAAAAAGTGTTAAGGACTAATTTTGACATTTAACCTTTCTAAAAAATAGAATGCATTTATGGAAGAATATCCGAGTAGCATATTACACTCAAAATTTGGAATCTCACCCCACCAAAGTCATCCAAAACTCCGCCTATAAAAACCAGCTTGGCTTTTGCACAAAACAAAATGTGGTTTGGACTTGGGGCTAAATACAGCTACTGATGAATTATGATCGGTCAGTAAATCTCTCTCTCTTCTAATTTTCAAGTAATTAAGTCATTGATTTATAATTAGAATTCAATTCTTTAATAAAATCTCTTCAGAAATGAAAAGGTTAGCATTGTTAGAAGCAGAGGAACGTAAGAGAATGTAAATAGAGATGAACCCTAGTTGGGTCAGTGAATTTACCAAAAATCTGTGAATCCATGGTTTGTCTCTTCTTAATTTTCTGGTAAGTTTCCACTAATCCGATTAGACTTCTTTCAGAAAATATTAGTCCTACCTCTTAAAAAATGAAGAGGCTAGCAACAACGGTTTATCTCTTGAATTTTTTTTTTTTTTTTTGGGTAAATAACCAATCCAAACAAAATTCAGTTTTTAGGAAAATATTAGTCCCACAAGGCCAAATTTGAGAGCTAGTTGTTGGATTGAAAGGAACAAAAGCACATAACTGAAGATGAATTCCATTCGGTTAGTGATTTATCAAAAAATAGTTTGACATGACAAAAGCTATAACTTGTCTCTTGATTTTTTGATAAATCATTAATTTGATTAGAATTCAGGTTTTCAAGAAAATATTACTCCTACAACTCTAAATATAAAGAGGCTACTTGGTTTTTGGATTGAGGAAGCATGAGTACATAACTGAAGATGAACTCTAGTCGGTTAGTGATTTACCAAAAAAAGTTAACATGACAATCGATGACTTGTCTCTTGAATTTTTGGTAAATCACTAATTCGATTAGAATTCAATTTTTCAAGAAGATATTACTCCCACATTTCCAAATATGAATAGGCTACATGGTTGTTGGATCAAGGAAGAAGGAGTGCATAACTGAAGATGAACTCCAGTCGATTAGTGATTTACCAAAAAATAATTGACATGACAAGTTATGATTTGTCTCTTGATTTTTTGGTAAATAACTAATTCGATTAAAATTCAGTTTTTCAAAAAAATATTACTCCCACATTTCGAAATATGAAGAGGCTACTTGGTTTTTGAATTAAGGAATAAAGAGCACAAAATTGAAGATGAATTTTAGTTGGTTAGTGATTTACCAAAAAGAGTTGGCATGACAAGTTATTACTTATCTTTTGATTTTTTTATAATTCACTAATTCGTTTATAATTCAATTTTTCAAGAAAAAATTACT